AAGCAGCCACAGACCCTACATTAGAAAGTGGCGATGGCTGTGTCCTAATTGGACTTTGTTTACAGAAAGAGGCAGCCAACCCCGGAAACCAGATTATTAAAACCCCAAAGCAAGTCTCTGTGGTTCGAGAAGACATTTCAGGTCCTTCCTCTATGTACCCTTCCTTCCCTCGTTTGGAATGCTCTCTGTACACATCAGTTACATATATTGGGTTGGCCAAAAAGTTTGTTCGGCTTCTCTGAACGAACTTTTGGCCAACTGAATATTTGCATCAGCGTACAATATCACATAATGATAACATACAAAAAAGTGAGCTGCAACAATAAGATTCCCATTTTGTCATCATAAGAGCTCGTGAATTCAGATTGAAGTTTATGAGCTGCCATTTATTGCACTTGAGGTGGTCAGTTGCAATGATCCTGTGTCAAGAAGCTGAAACTCCTCATTGCGATGATGAAGAATCGTTCAAGAACTCTGCATTTCCTTCAATTGTCCTAGCTTGGTTTAACCCAAAAAGCAAAATCTGAGACAAGGAGTTATTGTGGAAATAGCTTTTTGCAGGGAAGAATTCTGAGAAACTGGAGTGGGGGAACTGTGACAGTGAACTTGGGAAGAAGGTGAAATCAGTGCAGTAGTGACTTACTGCTCTGGGCAACTAGGGCTTAATCCCACTGGAGACCTTCTAGGGAACTATGTAGAATATGTCTCATAAATGTCCACCTGAGACATGGAGTATTCACTGGCTCCCATTGGTCAAGGGAGGTGTTACTTACCCCCCCACACTTCAAGAATTGAGCATGTCAAGACCCTTAATGTGGTCAAAAGCAGGGCTATCAAGTTTCACCTGCACACAGCTGCTTGTGCACAGTAATGTAAACACATAATTAAAACTTTAAATCAAAATTACTCTACGGATTAAAGAATGTCTCTCTCTGACCACTGACCCCTAGCTATCCAGTCTTCCCCAGGGGCAATTTTTGTTTGTACTTCCTTGTATATCTTTTCAGATGTGTGCTATGTATAGCTATTGCTGAACCAGGTTTGTTTGCCTGATGTGCCACAAGCCAAAATGCTGAGGTGCCAAGGTTTGCAGCAGAAAAAGGGTTTATTTACAAGGTAGTCAAGTGAAGAGACAGGAGAACAAATCTCAGATCCACTTCTCTGCAGGCGAGGGGCTTGAGATATTTATGGGATAAAGAAGAAGGATGGGGCTTCCCTGGTGGCACACTGGTTAAGAATCCGCCTGCCAGTACAGGGGACATGGGTTCGAGCCCTGGTCGGGGAAGATCCCACATGCCGCAGAGCAACTAAGTCCGTGCGCCACAACTACTGAGCCCACACACCACAACTACTGAAGCCTGCGCACCTAGAGCCCGTGCTTCTGCAACAAGAGAAGCCACCACAATGAGAAACCCGCACACTGCAATGAAGAGTAACCCCCGCTCGCTGCAACTAGAGAAAGCTCGCGTGCAGCGACGGAGACCCAACGCAGCCAAAAATAAATAAATTAATTAGTTAATTAAAAAAAAGAAGGTTGGTCTTAGATATGGGGAAAGGTGATTGGAGGTAGGGAAAATGTGAGGTAATCACTGTTCTACACAGACGTATCTGAGTTACACGCTTTTTCATGGGATGTATGTTCAAAAATGGAGGCACTTAGCACGATCCGAGGGTGGCATTTTTGGCCCTCTGACATCAAAAGGTTATTCATCAGACACCCGCACAGGCCCAGTTTTAGGGTTGGTGGTCCCAACCAGTCTTAGCCTGATTGAGCTTGAATAAGACACAGCTGACTCCAAGTTCCTGGAAAACAACTCAGGCAAACATCTTGTTTAGGCTTCATGAAGCTTGCTGCCTATGCAATTTGAACAAAATAATTAAGGCAAGCTTGCCTAGTGAAGGTGGGCTACAAGCAGAGGGGTTTTTAAGCAAGCTGTTAGACAACCTCAAGAATTTCTATTAGTGACCAGTTTCTGTTAATCATATGAGGCACAGTTTCAGGATGAGTTGGGTTTTTGGGGGTTTTTTTGCCCCAAGCTTCTCTCTCTTTATTTTTAGGTATTAATTTTTTTTATTGGAGTAAAATTGCCTTACAATGTTGTGTTAGTTTCTGCTGCACAATGGAATGAGTCAGCTCTATGCATACCTATATCCCCTCCCTCCTGGACCTCCCTCCTCCTCTCCCCCCCCATCTAGGTCATCACAGAGAAGGATGAGTTTTTTAATTATATGAAGAATGGTTTCATAGGTAAACAAATAGTATTTTCCCTTTTTTAAGACCATCGGTGACATACTACACACAGTCTCCCGTACCGTGCTTTTAAAAATTTCTATCTATTCATCTTTCTGATAATTACATATATATGTTTAGAGCTCCCTCTTCTTTGGAATGACTGCATAGTATTTCATTTACCTTAATTTACTTAACCAATCCCCCTACTGATGATATTGTTATTTCCAGTTATTTTTTAAAAGTCAAGATGATTGAGGTATACATGCGGTAGTGTACAGCTCTATGAATTTTGATAAACATATACAATCATGTAGTCACAACCACGATGCAGAACAATTTCATCACTCCAAAAGTCTCCCTAGTGCATCTTTATACATAGTCATCCCCTTCATTCATCCCCAGCCCCTGGCAACCACTGATCTGCTCTCTGTACCCCGCCCAAAAGGACTTTCCCTTTTCCAAAATGCCATATAAATGGAATCATAAAGGATGCAGCCTTTGAGCCTTGATGCTTTCACTAGGCACAATGCATTTGAGATTCATCCATATTGTTGTGTGTATGAGTGTTTGGTTCCTCTTTATTTCTGAGTTATATTCCATGGTACAGATATACCACAGCTAGTTTATATCCATTCACCAGCTGGAAAACATTGGGTCATTTCCAGTTGGGGCAATCACGAATAAATCTGCTATCATTGCATACTAGTTTTTGTGTGGACATAAGTTTTTATTTCTCTTGGGTAAACATCTAGGAGTGGGATTACTGGGCTGTATGGTAAGTGCATGTTTGACTTAATAAGTACTTGCCAAACTGATTTCCAAAGTGACTGTACCACTTTGTCTTTCTACCAGCAATATATGCTAATTCACCCGCATTTGGTATTGTCATTGTCAGTTGTTTTTATTTCAGCCATTCCCATAGGTATATATAGAATTTTGTCTACCGCAAACAGTGCTACAATGAATATTCTTATACACATATCCTTTAAAATCGGGTATGAGTATAACTGTAAGATATAGTCTTAGAACTAGAATTGATGGGCCAAGGATGTGAAAGGTTGTTTAGGTATGCTAAACAGCCTTCTGAGAAGGTGGGGCCAGTCTCGTTGCCTACGAGCTAGGTATGGCATTGTGTTGGCCAAAAAGTTCATTCTGGTGTTTCCGTAACATCTTAATAATACCTGTTTCACCACATCATCACCAACACAGTGTATTACCCAATATCACTACAATTTTGAATGAGATTTCACTTTAGACGACTGCTCTATGCGTATCTATCTCATAGGGCTGTTGGTGAGGACTTAAAGTAGAGTTTTAAGAGCAGGGCCTGCCACACAGAGAGTGGCAATGGAGGTTAATAGTTATTGTATGATTACCACTATTAATCATTATTATTTGTCTCTCTCTCTCTGAGTTCCTCATCAGTATATTCACAAACACTTTTTCCAAAGAGCTCAAACGTTCTGCCTACGGAATTTAGTTAATCCTCATAAATCTCTTCAGATGCTGGCTAGGATTTCAGGCACTGTGGGCTTTACAGAATAGGGAAGTGCAACAGGATAGCACTGTTCTAACGTTACAGAACAGATCTGTGTCCCACGAGGTCAAAATGAGTCGAGTTTGGAATAGGAATGGGTTCCTCTAGGTTACAATGGCTGTGAAGCTTTTTTTCACTGCCATCCACTTTAAGAAATACACCAGGAACCAGAACACACATATAGACCTGAAACAAAAGTTTCAAAAACAATACTTCTATGTTTTCTATTTGTTCCATTCCATTTTATTGAAAATATGTTCATTGGGATATGCTAATAGATTTCAAAATCTACTATTGGGTTAAGACTAGTAGTTTAAAAGGCAGTGTTCTAGGTCAAAAATGTTGACCTTTCTGGGAATACAACTGGAATCATAGAACCTCACACTCAGTTTTGGGTACATTATTCCCTTGTTCCTTTTTCTTCATTTCCTTGGGACGCTAGAGCTTATTCGTTCATCAATCTTCACAAATAGCTCTTGGATTCCTTATGTGCACTGCCCAGTATTAAGCGCCAGTGGAGAAAACAGGCTTTGAAGAGCAAGAGGCCTGGATTCAAATCTCACCTCCACCATTTGCTGGTGATCTTGGTTACGCCTCTGCAGTCTTCAAACACTCAGTTTCCTCCTTTGTGAAACGTAGTAGTAATAGAGAAATCAATGTCAACGCATGTAAAGCACTTATAAGAGTGTCAGGCTCATTCATAGTAAGCCCTTAATACACTGGTTCTCAAGGAGTTATCCCCAAGATCAGCAGCATCAGCATCATTTAGTAACTTGTTAGAATGGAATTCTCGGACCTCACCCCAGATTTACTGAATCAGAAACTCCAGGGGTGGGGCCCAGAAATCGGTTTTAACAAGTTCTCCAGGTGATTCTGATGCATTCTCAAGTTTAATACCTGGTAACTATTAACGATTAGTACTTGAGGCTGCTGAGGTGAGCAGTGGGCAAATTATGAAGGCTAAAGATAAGCCCTACGGTGCCAGCAAGACTCCTGGTAAGGTTCCAACCTGCCTCAGCCCGGGCTTACCCTCCCTCCTCCCTCAGCAGGGCCCGCCTAGTGCACTCGCTGATTGGTGGGGTCTCTCTGGACCGTCACCCCATCCAACCACGGAGAACGTAAACGAAGAGGGGCGGGACTAGGCGCGGCGAGAGCGGCGAGCCTGTTGGCTACAGGCCACGCCGCGGGGCGGGGCGGGGCTGCGCGTGCGCACGGCCTAGGCGCGCCCGTGTGGGCCGTTGAAAAATGGCGACTGTTGCTGAGCTGAAGGCGGGTGAGTGCGAATGGGAAGCTTGCCGGCTGAACTTTGTCGGCCTTCAGCCTGTGAAAAGGATGGGACGAAATGAGGGTGCGCGGAACACTAGTCAGCCTTTTCGCGGTCGTTCTGTGGCGTCAGGGCCTGCGGAGCGTCCAGAGGGTGTGGCGGCCGCCGCGCGGGGGCCCTGAGGGGATGTGGTTGCATAGGGACAATGTTTAAACCGGCTTTGAGCTGGAGGAGGAGTCCCAGGATCCCCAGGTACCTGAGAGGTCTATAGTTCTGCACCTTGGGGCTCTGGCGCATCCTTCTGGACCTCGACGGGGGCGAGGCCGTGGGCCGGGCCTTTTCCTCAGGGCTGATGATTCCAATGTCTAAACCACCATTGTTGGTGTTCCGCACAATCCTAAACCATTTGCTTGCTTATCTCATTGCGTCCATACAACCACCTGCGAGGTGGGTCGCGATTTTCCATGGGGAAAAAGTGGAGGTAGAAAGGTGTCTGGCTTGGCCATTCTCCTGTGTTTTTAGGAAAAGTTCCACAAAGGTTCGAGCCCTTAAGCTGAGAACATTTGTACACCGTTAATTTTGACGCAAATGTCCAAACAAGTAATAGTAATTATAGTTATTAGCCATCGAGCCTTATGTGTCAGGCACAGCCCAGCGCCTGTGTTATCTAATTTATTCTGTGTATGAACCTTATGCCCATTTCATAGATTAGGAAATTGAGGCGCTGAGAGGTGAAATAGATCGACTAAAGTAATTTAGCTATAAAGAGGCAGAGTGAGAACCTAGAGATGCTGCACCAGGCCTGCAGGTCTTAGTTACTGAGTGATACTGCTGCCTGCCTAGTAAAACCAGTTACGTTTTTCAGGGAATTTAGGCTCTAAATCAGTGATTCTTAGAGATTTGGTGGGGAGAGTATGATTTGAGAATATGATTCAGGAATTATTGATCTAAATGTATATTTGCGGCCCAGGACTGATGAACAATCATTACAAAGGCATACCTCTATCCACAAGGACAGACTTGACATGAATTGGTGAACTCTCTCCCCAGGAAACACATATCACCTGTACTATTGCATGCAACTTCTGAGGATTTAAAGATACGTTGGAATATAAACCAGGTTAAGAAGCTCTTTCCAAAGAAATTGTCATGGTACAGTGTTTTAATAACCATGATAATAGAGAACAGATCAGGATGATACGGAACCCTAGAACTCTCTAGACAAGGGATGTCCTACACAGATGTAGGGAGCCCTTTATGCTTTTCCTGCATTTGTCAGCTCTGAATATACTTAGTGTTCAAGAGAAACCCATTGAAAATGCTTGCCAATCAATTATCTTATATGGGCTTTCACCTTTTTAAAGCACTTTCCCCTCACATTTTTCCACCTTACTTGGTTCTACCTCTGAGACATAGAACTCATGTTGGAGAAGACAAGTGAGGCAGGAGTTAGTGATCTACCGCTGAGGTAGTGATGGGACATGCTGGGTTTCCTAACTCCAGCTTCATTAATTCTCATTTCTTTGCTGAGTTCAAGGCTGTGCTGTGTGCAAATACAGAGTAATTGGGGGGAAAAAATCTCTCCGTCTAATTTCTAAAGATGGAATTGGAGAACAGGGGTTCAGTTATGATCCCAACATGATAAAGCTGTACCTGCCTTTTATGGGCCTGTTGCACAGTCTGACTGGGTGATAACTACTCTTAACACACCTGCAAAAAAGGTTGAGGGGATGAATCTACATATAAGGGCCAAGAAAGGTTAAAGTCTAGTCCAGATTGTATCTCTTTAATCAACAAAACCTGACTCAGGTTTTTGTTGTTTATCAAAGCTTAAAAAAATTTCATGTCCATGCCTACTTGGATACACTCCCTGGGCTCCTTTTATTTTATTTTATTTTTGGCTGCATTGGATCTTCGTTGCTGCACGTGGGCTTTCTCTAGTTGCTGCGAGCGGGGGCTACTCTTCGTTGCAGTGCGGGGACTTCTCATTGCGGTGGCTTCTCTTGTTGCGGAGCATGGGCTCTAGGCGCATGGGCTTCAGTACTTGTGGCTTGCGGACTCTAGAGTGCAGGCTCAGTAGTTGTGGCACATGGGCTTAGTTGCGCCGTGGCCTGTGGGATCTTCCCGGACCAGGACTCGAACCCGTGTCCCGTGTGTTGGCAGGCGGATTCTTAACCACTGCGCCGCCAGGGAAGTCCCTGGGCTCCCTTTCTGAATTGTCATTATTGGGGTGTACTTATTTATAGCATAATACAGTATTAAACTATATTTATTAAACCAATAGTATACAGCACAGTATTATAATGCCTCTAGGCAGCTCTCTATTCTAGGCACTATGGGTGAAATGTGTTAATTCTCTGGAGTTGTTATTTAGCTATTAAGGACAATGTGAGAGAAAAAAAAAAAAAAGGTTCCAGACCACTGCAAGGGATGATGCCAATTCAGCCCTATCCATATTAGTATTTATAGCTAAATCTCATTATCATAACTACTGATATTTGTAATAATGACCCTTGCTTATCAAGAAGTTAGATTACGTTCAGCATATATATCCCTGATTCCTTGAGATGACATTGATAAAGTTACATGTTAGATTTCTAAGTAGGCTTACAATTTCAAAATCTTACTGTTTTAAGGAATTAACTCATAATTGCCTTTAAAAAACAAACCCCCCAGAACAAAAGCCCACCTTTTTGTTCAGAATGGGCCATTTCCCAAGGTTTCTGGGTATCAGTTTTTATACAGAGGGCACGACATAGTCCTTCCTTTTTGGAGTGTACTTGTTATCTTTAATCATCTACTTTCTGGACCAGAGGGTTTTAGTGACATACAGAACCTGTCTGCAGTGACAACCATTCTTGAAAAGATATGAGACACTGGGAGATAAGTTCAGGTCCCAGTAAGCTGAGTATATTTCTCTCCCCCTTTTCTTCTTCACTAAAGAATGTGTATCAGTCTGTAGCCTCTGACAGTGATGATGTTGGAAGGATAAATTTGCATTTGCTTAAATATATTAAAATAGTAAATCATCGCAACTCAGGAACTTTATTTTTTATTACAAATGTGGCTTGTGGTAGCTAATGTGATGATTGTTCAGTTTGTCATAGAGTATAGGTTGAAAGTGCATGTTATGCCATTTACCTTTTAAGCATTTTTCTTCAGAGTTTGGCTAAGAATGACAAAATTCCTTCTGTAACTGAAGCATTAATATTTTATATTTAACAGTTTTAAAGGACACCTTGGAAAAAAGAGGAGTATTAGGGCATTTAAAAGCAAGGATTCGAGCTGAAGTTTTCAATGCTCTTGATGATGAAAGTGAACCTCGACCATTATTGTCTCATGAAAACCTTCTAATTAATGAATTAATTCGGGAGTATTTGGAATTCAACAAATATAAGTATACAGCATCTGTCCTCATAGCAGGTAAGAGGTTATTTATTGTTAGTTACCTGATATGAAATCTGCCTCTTCCCTTCTCCCAATTCTCAGAAAGTGTTTAGCCTAGAAATCTAATTCCATTACCAAACAGTATCATCTGGGACATGACTGGAACATAAAACCTCCCATGGGCTCTTTCCATAGCTTGAACAAGTGCTTGTGAGGTTTATTGTATTATAGGGGGAAATAACTCAATAAACACTTAAACTAGGTGCATACTTTGAAAAATCATCCATAATTCCTGGCACTGACAATAAATACTTGTTTACTGGTATTGAGAATAAACAATTCTTTACATTTTACCCTATGTGCTGTCCGTCTTTTTTCTATGTATATGCTTTAAAAATACACACACAGAGATTTAATATATATTCTTTATTAAAAAATATAAAACATTGGGAGATAAAGCCTCAAAATATTGCTACCATGTATTGATCAGGCACTGTATACAAATGTATGTGAAAGCATGATATCTAAAAAGGATTAGATAATCTATAGAAATTTCAAATAACTGTGTTGTACACCTGAAACTAATATAATATAATATTGTGAACCAACTATACTTAAATAAAAAAAGAAATAAGAGGTCAACTATACTTCAATTAAAAAGAAGAAGAAAAAAAAAAGAAAAGGATTAGGAAGGTAAACTCCAAACTCATTCTAGTGATGGGAGGGAGAGAAATGGTATTGGGGGGAGGGAGTCAACAGTTAAAAAGAAATTTATTTTATCTGTTAAATTTTATTTCTTAAGAAAGCAAAAGAACTGGAAGAATATGCACAATAGTCAGGATCAGCATTGCCTCTGGGCTGGGGGAGATGAGGTTGGGAGGATGATCAAAAACACCTTGCATGTACATAACTTGATTCCCTTGTTCAAGGTGTAATCTGTGCTTTAAGACTGTTTGGTGCCTTGGAGATATGCCTCATCAAAGAAAAGAGATCATGAAGTGGATTTTGGAAGAGAGAATGGATTCCTTATTTGTGATGCTGGAACTTTCCATTCGATAGATCTTTTGTTAATATTCTAGATCTTTTATTTAATGTTAACTGAATGTTAATACCTTAACTGAATAAAGACTGATGATCTTTATTGGTTTAAGGATCTTCAATATCAGTATCTTCACTTTCTTCAGTTTGTTATAGATGGCTATATAATACATTAATAATCAGAAAAGAAGAATATGAAAATATCATCAATTAGATGTCTTGGACTTGTGCTTACCTAGAATGGAATATAATGACATAGTCAAGTTTCTACAGTGTCTTGGCTTTTTAAAACAAAAAATGAGGTAAAATTAACATATAAGATTCTTTACCATTTTTAGTATATAGTTCTATGGATTTTACCAAATTCATACAGTTGTGTAACTACCACCACAATCACAATCACGATATAGAACGTTTCCATCACCTCAAAAAATTGTGTCCCTTTGTAGACAACCTCTTCTACCCTCAAACCCCTAGCAACCTCTGATCTGTTGTTTTCTGTACCTATCATTTGCCTTTTCCAGAACATCATATAAGTGAAACCATGCAGGATGTAGCATTTTGAATCTTTTTCCTTTCACTCAGCATAACACATTTGAGACCATGCTGTTATTTTTCCACTCCGAATAGCATTCCATTGTATGGTTGTATTGATGTATCTATTATCAGTTGATAGACATTTGGGTTGCTTCTAGTTTTTGGCAATTATGAGTCAAGCTGCTATAAAACATTCATTTACAAGTTTGGCCGAACGTTGTTTTCATGTCTCTTGGGTAAAGAGCTAAGAGTGGGATTGCTGGGTTGTGTGTGGTAAGTGTATGCTTACCTTTATAAGTGGATGCAACATTTTGTTCTCCTACCGGCAGAGTATGAGGGTTCCAGTTGCCCTGTGTCCTTGCCAGCACTTCATATTAGTGTTTATTGTACTTTTAGATTTATTGCCGCCAAATGGATATCAGCACTGTCATGTATTTAATTTACAGGCTTCTTAGAAAATAGGACTTCTGAAGTCTAGTATATAGAAACAATATTTTCCCAACTCAAAATTGGGGGATTTAAAAAATAAATTTATGTTAAACTGTATTAAAATATGCATTTAACAAAGTGGCTATTCTGAAAGTCATAAAATCACACACAGTTGCATCTGCCTTGGCGTGTGCCATCATTCTTCTAAAATCTGAAAAATGTGTATACCTCGTAAGTGTGGTTTTTATCAAAATCCTATTTACTTTTTACATTAATAAAGACTCAGTGTTTTATGATTTTCCCCCCAGAATCTGGTCAACCCATAGTTCCATTGGACAGACAGTTTCTCATCCGTGAACTAAATGCATTTGAAGAATCAAAGGATAATACAATGTAAGAAGTTTTTTAAAAAAATAAGTTTTCAGATACTGTTGTATTGGAGTCATAATTGCATAGCAGTGGTTTTATTTCATTTTAATTCAGGAGGTATTTATTTGGGCCCAGTGTGTATCTAGCACACGTCTACGGTGTGCAGCTGTGTGTAGGTGCTAAATGCCTGTGGTTTCAGAGGACTGAGCACCCCTGCTTTATCCTAAGGGTCACGTCTCTTGGCTTCTTCATCCATCCTTTTGTTTTTTACCTGAGGCTTTGCTCTATCAGTTGTTTTCTTCCTCACATTTAACTCTTCCTCCTCACTGCTTCCTTCACTTCAACTTGGGAATGTACTCAAATCTCTCCTCTCCAAAAAAACCTCTTAACTCCTTTTTATCCCTGAACTTAGTGAAGATCAACCCCCTGTTTTCATTTTGTTATTACCCCCTCTTTTGCCTTCTCTGCATTTTAAGTTCTCCCCTCACCATTTGTACTGAAACTATGCTCTTGAAAAAGAGTGACCACTTTCTAGTAGTTTCTTAGTTTTTTTCCTACTTTAGTGTTTCTTAAACTTTTTCTAGAGGATCCCTGAATGGCAGAAAAAATTGTACCTAGGAGGCCTGGGAACATAGATCAAAGCACCTTTCCCCTGGTAAGAAATTTCTTTGAAGTCTCATGTTTTCTCTTTCTAAAAGGTTTATTGAATTTTTTCATTCTACTTCATGATATAATTATTTTTACCATTAAAATGTTTTAAATGACATGCCAATTAAATTGAACTCTCCCTCAAATCTTTGTGTAAAATTAGTGTTCTGGGATCATATGCCACCTGTACTTTGTACCAGGCCCCTAGCACTAAGAGTGGATATATATCTGTTTCCAATTTGAGAAGCTCAGCTTTACTTGAGTTTCTGCAGTGTTTTGTAATATTGACAACTCTTCCTTAAAACACTTCTTGTCATTTGTCTTTTATGACCCTTTACTGTCTTGGTTTTTCTGTCTCCCTAATGGTCGTCACAGTTTCTTCATTGGCTCCTTTAAGGTTCCTTTAAATTGTGGGCACTCTCCCCCAAGTTTTGTCCTTAACTTTCTTTTCCTCTTGTCCCCCTGCCCACTTTTCTATGTAGTCTTGAGTCTTTAATGATGTCTCCACGCTGGTGACTGTGCTTTAAATCTTACAGAGCTCGTGAATTACGGGCCCACATTTCTGCTGGCATCTCAAACTCTGTGTGTCCAAAAATCAAGTCCATTATTTTCATCTCTTCAAGCCCCCCTCATAGCTTCCTCATACAGCCATTCAGGTCTTCACCTGAGAGCTCACTTGCACTTCCGGCTCCTTACTTCTCCACCAGTCATTTTGCGAGTCTCATCAATTTGGCCTGTGCAGTAGCGCCTGTCTGTCCTCACGACCTGTGCCGTGCAGTTCAGGAGGCGTCTGTCCCGTTTCTCTCCAGTCACTTTCTTTTCTAACTCATGTCACGCTGCCAATAGTTTGCTTTCTGAAAGCAAATGTTGCTTTAAAGCATTTCCATTGAAAAGTTTTCAGATTTCAAAAAGTAATGTGGTCCATATATGGTGTAGGCTCCAGTGGAAGTCTGAAGTAGCATTAATAGTCACATTAATATTTTTCAGTGAAACTTAAGAATTTTCACAAAAAGTAGATAAAGTGTATAATAACCTTATATTAGGTCAAGCCATGCCACCAAATGAGTTTGTGCCAAATTTATGAAGAAAATTAGTTTTCAGAGTTTTTGTTTTTCAGAATTGCAAATAAGGCATTGTGAAGCTGTACTTTAAAAACATTAAGTAGGATTTTTGAAAAAAGAAACCTTAATATTCATGAAGCTGCAGGTTAAATGTGGTAGTTTTATATTTTCTAATATGTCTTAAAAATTTTAAATCTTAAGTAAATTTTATTGTAAATTTGGAAAACAGAATTTTTTTAATTTAAAAATCTTCTTTGACCAGTTAACACTTTGGGAAACAATGGTTTAAAGTAGACAAAGAGACCTATTTTATATTCCTGTATGAAGCTTTTATAAGAGCTGAGGCATCTTATTAAATAGAGAAACTCACTCTCTTGGTTTCTTTGTGGTATGGAAAAATTGCTTTTGTGTGTAGTTGGTTATTTATTGCTGTATAACAGATTACCCCAGAAGTTGGTGGTTTAAAACAACAGACATTTATTATCAGTGGAGAGGAATCTGGGCGTGGCTTCTGTGGCTGGTCTCACTCAGGAGATTGCAGTTAAGATGTTGACCGGAGATACAGTCATCTGAAGGCTTGGCTGGAGCTGGAGGATCCATTTCCATGTGGCACATTCACATGGCTGCTTGTCGGAGGCCTCAGTTCTTCACTACATGAACCTTTCCACGGGACAGCTTGAGTGTCCTCATGACATGGCAACTGACTTACCCTAGGGAGAATGACCAAGAGAGAAGGCAAGGAGGAGGCCGCAATGCTGTTTATGACCTAGACTCTAAAGTTGCAAGTGCTGTCACTTAATGCCTTACTCAGTTCCTGAGAAGTGAGTTCAGCTCACACTCAAGAGGACAGCAGTTAGACTCCACCTTTTGAAGGGAAAGGATGTCATACTTTGAACCATCACACCTGCTAATAAGTAGATAGATTATCTCAAAAAGACAGTCCATTAAATTGATTATTTTCAACAGTGATATTGGAAACAAGGGAAAACCACTCTTTATTGTCATCAGAGCAGCCTCCATTGGTGCAAGGGCACTAATGTAAATCTCCAGGCAGCATGCTGTAAGGAAAAGAATATGGGACTTGGGGTTCAAGTGTAAAGTTTGTTGACTATCTAAGCAATCTCTAGCAAATCCTCAGTGAGCTGTGGTTTTCTTATTTATAAATTGGAGATGATGATTATGATATCACAAGGTAAAGATAAAATGAAGAGAGAGAAGAGTGTTTTGTAAACTGTAAAGTAGCTTTTAAAATACTAGTTCTTGCCCGACTCCTGTATAGCTTGCATTTATATACCATTTAATATGTGCCAGGTATGGTTCTAAGCACTTGATATTTATTAACTCATTTTGTCCATAACTGCCCTATGAGGTAGAGACTATGCTTATCCTCATTTATAGAGGAAGAAACATTTATGAGGCTGGGGACGTTAAGAATCTTGCTGAGGTCAAGTGGCAGGGCCAGGATTTGAACCCAGGCAAGGATTTATTAATCCAATAAATATATATTGAATAGTTGTTTTGTATCAGACCATGTTAGGTAGTGGGAAATCTTATACTGGACTTCGGAGTTTAAAAAAAAAATGCTGATTCCTGTGCATTGATTGAAATTGTATTTCAGCTTAGGTGAGGTTTAACTTGTTAGTGTTTTCTCTGGATTTTAAAATTGTCTTTAGAGTTAAATGGTACACTTAAATTTGAAAAGGCATGAACAAGTTTGCAATTTGGATAATAACCATGCATCTTTTTTCTTTTAAGTCTGGTGAATTACTTGGCTATTTTCGTGTCAGAGGCTACCTTTTAAAGAGTAGATATTTTTAAGCTTTTCCTATTTATTCAAATTGAATTGATTTTGATTTTCTTCCTGCTATAGACCTCTTTTATATGGAATTTTAGCTCATTTCTTGCATGGAACTAAGGATGACATCCAAAATACATTTCTGAAAGGGTCTTCACTTCAGCCTCCAAACCCAAATCTTGGCAGACAACCTAATGGAAGAAAGCAAATGGGTATGAGTTTTCTGAGACTTATCATTTAGCTATCAGCAAGTATGTTTTCTTCCTATCTGTTTTTATCTTTGGAACAGTTTTTCCTAAGATTTTGAGTCAAAGTTTAATTCCATTTATATCCAATATAGTTAGCCCGTGTTATTTATCCTCAAAAAAACAATGCTTTTCAGAAGGAGAATCTTGTGAGGGGTGGGGAGATGACTAGACAAAATTCTTAGATATAATTTCTATAAAGAAGTGTTGAAAAACTTGATTTTCACATAGATTTTGTACTCTTTGGAGTAGCTTAGATCCTTAGCGTACTGAAGAAGGAGCTTTTTATCACATTATCAATTTTTTCCCCTCTAAGACTGAAAAAAGGCAAGATTGCTGAATATAGATAGAGCAGTCAGAGGTTTATGTGTTGTCCTTTGCATTTTCAGGATTCCTTTCTTTTGAGGGGGTGGGGGGAATACTCTTTGTGGTAGTGTTGTAGTTATCTATAAATAAATTCTTAGGAGAACAGCTCATATTTCTTTTAAGAATGCTCACTCTTCCAATGAGGTTTCAGTTGTTTTGATTATATCAGCAGTAGAACCTCAGTTTGATAATCTAAATTGAATGGTTTATAGCTCAGTGTTTCCAACTGTGGTTGAGAGTTGATCTCTCTTTTTAAGGATAGTCATAGGTGGGGCTCAGGCAGCTGATTATCAGAACAAATATAAATCTTTTTTTTTTGAACCTGCACCCTTGGCAGTGAAAGCGTGGAGTCCTAACCACTGGACTGCCAGGGAATTCCCAGAACAAATATAAATCTTGACTGTTGAAGTAAACTTTTAAGAAACATCTAAAGTGCAAATTGTCTTTTGCAGTTTTCCTGAACTGCCATGAGCAATATTGATCATGTTGGGCTTCCCTGGTGGCGCAGTGGTTAAGAATCCACCTGCCAATGCAGGGGACACAGGTTCGAGCCCTGGTCCGGGAAGATCCCACATGCCACAGAGCAATTAAGCCCGTGCACCACAACTACTGAGCCTGCACTCTAGAGCTTGCGAGCCACAAATACTGAGCCCACGTATCACAACTGCTGAAGCCTGCGTGCCTAGAGCCTGTGCTCTGCAACAAGAGAAGCCACCACAGTGAGAAGCCTGTGTACCTCAATGAAGAGCAGCCCCTGCTCGCTGCAACTAGAGAAAGCCCGTGAACAGCAACGAGGACCCAACACAGCCAAAAACAAATAAATAAATTTTAAAAAAAGAAAGTATTTAATTGCCTTTTGAGATAATTGCGAATATTTAAAAAAATATATTGATCATGTTAAATACTTACTCTGTCTCTTAGATCTGAAAGCAAAATATTTGTGAATCACGGTGATCTCTTGAAGGTTAGTTCTGACTTTACTAGGAGTTATCCTTCTATATATCTTAGAATTCTAAGTCCATGGAACATTGGAAAAGAAATCATTCCCGTCTTCTTATTTTAGTTGAGAAAACCAAGACTAAGAGGTTCATTGACTCATCTAAAGCCTGTAGCTGATCATTTTTAGCAGAATCAACACCCTTGATTGCCATTCCTGTACACTTTCCACTTAAAGAATATGGAGAAGTTTTCTTAGTTCCTTTTTCAGGTATTGGTAAGGAACTGTCATTATTGCCTACTATTTGGCAAGAACTTAAAAAACAAAACAAAACACACAGTACAAGAGTAAATGTCTAAACATCAGTAGTATAATGTGAAATTCCCTCTAACCTCTTCCCTCCTTGCCTCTCCCTAACGCCTTGATTTCCCTCCCCTCCACAGAAGGTAGTGCTGTTAGCAGCTTGGTGGGTGTCCTTCAGGAGTCATTTCTGCATATTTAAATTTATATGCACTGTTCCTGTGCATATTATTCCTACAGTTTGCTTTTTTCACTTGTTTTATCAATTTATGTAGATCTGCTTCTACCTCGTTCTTTCTGTAGTATTCCATAGTACTATTGCTAATCACTCTTTACTGATCTACTTTTGTATCTTTTTTTTTTTTTTTGGCTGCATTGGGTCTTCATTGATGCACATGAGCTTTCTCTAGTTGTGGTGAGCGGGGGCTACTCTTAGTTGTGTTGTGCGGGCTTCTCACTGTGGTGGTTTCTCGTTGCAGAGCACAGGCTATAGGCGTGTGGGCTTCAGTAGTTGCAGCACGCGGGCCCTAGAGCTCTCAGGCTTCAGTGATTGTGGAGCACAGGCTTAGTTGCTCCGTGGCATGTGGGATCTTCCCGGACCAGGGATTGAACCCGTGTCCCCTGCGTTGGCAGGTGGATTGTTAACCACAGCACCACCAGGGAAGTCCTACTTTTGTATGTTTTAAATTTTTTGCTTTTACAGTATTGCAGGGTAGCATTAGTATTTTTCTTATGTGGATGCCTAGAAGTAGAATTGCTGGTTCAAAATATATGCATATTAAAAAATGTAGTAGATATTGTTTAATTCCCCTCCAAAAAGGCTTTACCACTTTACATGCTTGCCAAGAATATATGATAATGCCAGTTTCTCTTTAATTGTCACCGGTGGATATTGTACACATTAACACATGTTAACACAGCAAACCCATGACGTTGGTATTTTTAGTTCCAGTTGGGTGGGTGGGGGCAGGGTGTGCTAGAGAGGATGCAAGAGTCCTTGGGTTACCTTGGCTCCTGTCTGTATAAAGTGCCAGAGACATCAAAGATTCGAGTTCAGCAAAGCTTTGGGTACCTATTCTGTGGAAGACTCAGAAAGGAGAATGAGTGCACTAATAGGAGAACAGTGATATTGCAAATTATTTTTCTTGATCATCAAAAATGTTACTGACACAACAGGAACCTCGTGCAATGAATTGTGAAGAATTGTTAGCCCCAAATTGCATTATGTTTCAGTAACACATTTAGGCATTTAGGCATTCCATTTACTTTCTCAACTCCAACTTATTGTGTGAAAGATACATAAGTTTTATTTGACAACATCGAGACGTTATAAAGGTATTAAAATAATTATTCTTCAGATTATATACCTTCTATCTACACAAAGTCATCCAGCTGAAATATAAAACACTAAAATTAAATTCTCTTTTATTTGAAGATAAGTCCAAAGCCTGCCATCATGAAAGCACTTCTTTTATTAAAGCTTTCAGAGTACAAAAAAAAAATGAAGAGGGTTTATATAACAGGCACACTCACCTTTGAAATGGTAGCCAGTTCATTAATGCTGCTGATATTAGTGCTTGTAATATTGAAAGCAAGGTAGTTTTTGCTATAAATAAAAGCCCAGATATTTTATAATAGAGAAAATCATTATCAGCTCAACATTATTGCACATCTATGAAGTACATGAGTGACATACTTAACTCTTATAACACTTCTCTAGAAAACCTAAAATGGTTTTGCCTTAAGGATATTGTTGATCTTGTTCTTCCAGCAAAGTTGCCTAACACTGAGGGGGATGAATTTTCCAGACCTGTGGTGGTGTTAGCACTCTGCACTGCCTCTGAGGATGAGGGGCTGCTCTGGACTAGCAAGACTGTGTGTACAGCAACTTGTCCTCAGAATTAGCAAATCTAGTGTGCATTTTTGGTGCTACAATTGCATATTTCTAACAACTTGTCTAAATTTGTATTTTTTTGTCTCCTGTTATCAAAATGGTCATTAAAAAGGTTTTGTATTTTTACTTGTAAAGAGTGTTTGGGGAATTGGGGGTTAGGATTGGGGGGGGTTCATGTTTTCTTAGGAATTTAGTTTGTGCATCACATTTTTTTCTTTTTTTTTTTTGGCTGCGCTGGGTCTTCATTGTGGTGCGTGGGCTCTCTAGTTGTGGCACGCAGGCTTAGTTGCCCCATGGCATGTGGGATCTTAGTTCCCTGGTTGGGATCTTAGTTCCCTGACCAGGGATCAAACCCATGTCCCCAGCATTGGAAGGTGGATTCTTAACCACTGGACCACCAGGGAAGTCCCTGTGCGTTGCATTTTTGTCACATTGGATGTTAAGTCTCTTTAGGTTCTTTTAATCAAGAATACTTCTACCTGCTCCCCTCTCCCCCAGGACAAAAGAAATGGAGCATACATAACTAGGGCCCTTTCTTTACTATTCTGGAGCACAGTGTGTGGTCACAGAGGCTCTGGGCTCCTCTGAACCTGCATGGAACTTTCTTGTTTTGGGCTGAAGAACATTTTCTGCAATTTCTCGGGGGGTTTTCTGATTTTGGTAGGAAGTTGTAAACCATGCTAGTTTTCTTCTTGCCGCAAGAGGGTGCTGCTGGGAGGATTTCTATTTGAAGAAAAGTTTTTTGTTTTTTGTTGTTTTTCTTTTTAGTTGAGCTTTGGCATCCCTCAAAATACTAATTGAATACACAGTCCTTTCTTGTGAATTTCATTCCTTACATACAGTGTAAGTTTGTAAGTACTTATCCATGGGTTTACTCCAGGGTGTATTCTATTCACTTACAAAAAAATAGTCAGGAAACACTTGTGAAAAATTAGAGTGAGTCCCTAGTACTAAACATTTCTGATTTCTTCAATAGGGTTTTTAAAAAAAAACCCTTTTATTGTCCTAAGCCATCTAAAGAACTCAAACAATATTAAATATATAACATCCTATAATGTATGTAGATAAGTCTGCCTGCTGCCCATTTTTACTTGGGATGAGTACTGACCTTTGCTTCTGTTCATTGCAGAGGACCACCTACAGAAGGAGCAGGGGAGGAGCGCTAACACTGAAAACCTGCACACTTCTCCCGCAATGAAGAGATGACATTTCCATGTGGGGCATTTTTTATAAACTTGTATGCATTAAATAACTTATTTATCCTCCTAATGTTACCAGAATTCATCACTAATATTTGTACTTTGTGGAAATGTGAGTTTCTGCAAAACCTTTAGCCCCTTGTGTTTTACTGCATTTGTGAATAAAAGCTAACTCTGTCATCTAGCTTACCAGATTTGACTTGAAAGAAAATGTGTTGTTTTTAGGAAGATTTTAAAGGCCCCTAAAGTTTTGAGAAATGAAAGGGTTTTTTAGTTCCCTATAAATTCTTCTAAAAAAAAATCAGGTCTTTATAGCCATACGCTCTGTTCTTTGTTTGGCTGCACCACATGGCTTCCAGGATCTTAGTACCCCAGCCAGAGACTGAGCCCAGGCCCCCGCAGTGAAAGCACTGAGTCCTGACCACTGGACTGCCAGGGAATTCCCTGCTCTGTTCTTTACCATGGCACATTAATGAAATTTCCTTCAGGCTGGAATTATGTGGATTTATAGGAAAATTCATTCATGTTTAAAAAAAAAAAATTTAAAAGAACACCAAAACCAGAAAAAACTATAATTCCTATAAAGTTTGATTGTTTTCGGGGGTGGAGCTAGCTATTTTTCAGATAACCATTTATAATTAGGTTTAAGTATCTGAATTACTACCTAAATTTGAACATTGAAACTTGGTAACGACGTACTTTTTCTTTCCTTAGACAGTTTGGTTTCTCTTAGAAGATTTAATTAAAAGGTGTGTGGGGGGGAATAATTCTTTTAATTCTGCTGTAAGTAAACCAAGAGTTTATTACGTGAAGAATGTGGAATAAACATGAAGAGACAGGCTTTATGAGAAATACCAGAAAGTACCTTTTAAAAGATGGCATTGTTTAACCTCCATGTGGCCTTCAGTTGTGCAATTACAAGATGAGCTATGAAAGGGCCAACTCTTACTTGTATGGGCTCTGAGTGTCTTATTAAATGTCGATTTTTATTCTTGGGGTAGAAAAATAGTAAGAGCTCTTATAGTGCCATCTCTAAAATGCTACTTTGATATTCATTGACATTTTTATAATGTGGAGTCTTCAGACTGATTTCACTGAAAACAACAAACTATTATAGTAGACACCTGATTGGCACAAATCATAAGGTGTATTCAGAACAAAACTGCATGGGCGCCTGTACACTGACAACATTTAGCTTAAACATTTTCCACAGGGAAGGTGATAAGCGCTGTAGTTGACAGAATTGGCGTTCTTTTCAGGGTATAGATTCTGTGCTGCTTTTGGAAATTATTGAAACTTGATTTTATTTTTGGTGGTAGTCAGGGTTCAGTCCTTACAGATTAACCAAGAACTTTTATCTGAATGCAGAAAATTATTTAAAAAATTGCCTTAAACCATACTTTACAAGTCAAAGGATTTTGAGAGGCCCTATTGGTGGGCTAAAATTACATATACAGATGTAGAAGTATTATAAGGGCTCATTTCCATTTTTTAAATGAAATCTATAGTACCTGATTACAGTTATGAATTCCATTGTATTGTATGGGGAGTATAAATATCTGAATTATTCTCAGAGGATTTAGTTTACATGCAGGGCTGTTGGTAGTGGACACTGTTTACCTCAGGAATTGCAATCATGCAGGACTGGGTTAAGAAAAAATGCTGGAGTTTGTCATTTTGGATACTGATATAAAATCATCAAAATAGAAGCTAAACAGAATTGTCACATGTAGTCTATAGCACATTTGTATGCATTATTCTATAACTGGTTTGTACCTAGGCAACTTTTATACTTTAAGTGTATCATTTAATAAAAAAAAAAAAAAATTCAAGCAACTCACCTTTGTGCAAAGGGCTTTCCTCTGACTGTTCTGTCATCAAGAGGTGTCCACTGGAACCAGAAGAAGGCTTGGCGATGGCTCCCTAGGCCTTCATTCGGGATCTCCAGGAACCTAGTTGTTGGAGGGTGCATAGTAAGGTTGAGGGTACTTGGCATCAGCCATATCACCCCGGGACAGTTATTCTTCATAGGTGGAAGTGGTAGGGGCTGGTGGTGGTATTCTCTGAGGGGACAGTATCATAATGTGTGGGGCCACATATGGCTTGAAAAAGTGCATTTAGTAGTAGTTTTTTTTTTTGGCCATGCCACGTGCCTTGTGGGATCTTAGTTCCCTGACCAGGGATTGAACCCGGGCCCTGGCAGTGAAAGCTCCGAGTCCTAACCACTGGACCGCCAGGGAATTCCCATATGTTCTAGTAGTTTAAATAGGTTCCTGAGCTGAGACACTTAAATTCAAGGAAGGAAAAGACAAAAACACAGAGGACCCATCAAACTCTCCTCACGAACTCATAAATTAAATTAGTACATCATTTCTGGTGGTTTTCATGAGGTTGTTGGGAGAAGTTATCCTCCAGACATGCTCCAAACTCCAGGAGAAGTTTCAGGAGAAAACTTATACAAAAATAGGATGGGAATTGGACTTGAAGAGGGATTTAGGAAAAGTAGACATTTAAAACTTTGGCAATGTAAAAACTCGGCAAGAGCAGAGGTGGCGTTTGAAGATGATAAATTTAAGCATAGCATATATGCTTGCTTAGAATAAACTAATAGCTTTATAATTATGTGCAAGAACACATTTATATATGACTCACATGCCTGTATGATTATGTAAAATTTGATGTGTTCTTTTAACCTGAAGCCAAGTGTACGTGAATGATTAACATTTTGTGAAAATATGCCTTTAAAGGCATTTAGGGCAATGCTTCCCAGCCACTTGGCATTTCATTTTTGTAACAACCATTCTGCAAGGATTGTGTGGTCTTCATTAATTTTTGTTTAAATGAAAGTGGGGTAAAATTATCTTAAAAAAATAGACAATTTTGTAAAGCAGTTTTAGGTTCACAGCAAAATTGAGTGTGAAGTACAGAGTTCTCACATACCCTCTGTCCCCACACACTCACAGGCTCCCCTGTTATCAACATGACCCCCGAAAGTGGTACATTTGTTACAATCAGTGAACCTACATTGACCCATCATTATTACTCAAAGTCTGGAGTTGACCTCAGGGTTCACTCTTGGTGCTGTACAGCCTATGGGTTTGAACAAATGTATAGTGACATGTATCCACCCACCATTACAGTATCAGTAGTTTCACTGCCCTAAAAATTTTCTGTGCTCTATTCATCGCTCCTTTCTCCTCTAGCTCCTGGCAACCACTGATCTGTTTACTGTCTCCATAGTTTTGCCTTTTCCAGAATGTCATATAGTTGGACTCATACAGTGTGTGGCCTTTCATATTGTTTTCCTTCACTTAGTAATATGCTTTTGTTTCCTCCATGTCTGCTCATGGCTTGATAGCCCATTTCTTTTTAGTGCTGAGTAATATTCTGTCATCTGAATGTACCACAGTTTATCCATTCACTTACTTAGAAGAACGTCTTGGTTGCTTCCAAGTCTTGGCAATTAATGAAGAAAGCTGCTCTAAATAACTGTGTACAGGTTTTAGTACAGACATAGGTTTTCAGCTCATTTGAGTAAATCCCAAGGAGTGTGACTTGCTGGGTCATATGGTAAGAATATGTTTACTTCTGTAAGAAACTATAAAACTATTTTTATTGAGAATTTTAGGACTTTCCTGATAGAGAATCCGGAGTTACCAAGACACTGGAGCTGGAAACTGGTGATAAAGGAAAGAGCACTGCAAGTTACTGTGTGATTCGGTCTTGAGCCTGGAGAAACGTGGGGGCCATGATGAGTGAAACCAAGTGCTTCTGCACAGGAGAGTTGGAGCGGAACCGTGCTTGTGGTCGGGAAAGATGGCCCTTTATTCGCAAGGAGGCAGAGTCCTGTGCAGATCTTGAGCTGGATGACTCGAGTGCTGATGCACTTTTAAATAATTGTGAAGGACAAGCCATGCTTGGACCCAGTTTTTTTTTTTTTTGCAGTATGCGGGCCTCTCACTGCTGTGGCCTCTCCCGTTGCGGAGCACAGGCTCCGGACATGCAGGCTCAGCGGGCATGGCTCATGGGCCTAGCCACTCCGCGGCATGTGGGATCTTCCCGGCCTGGGGCACGAACCCGTGTCCCCTGCATCGGCAGGCAGACTCTCAACCACTGCGCCACCAGGGAAGCCCCCCAGTTTTTGATGTTATTAGAAACTGGAGGGAATCATACTTTGGAAGTTTTTGAACCTAGTAGCAAAATCAAAGCTATTTGATTAAAAAAAAAAAAAAAGACGCTGAGAGTGGAATTTCCCCACTGCTATCTTGTTCCATGAGTTCATGGAAACTCCCAGTACCCAGCGCCTCACAGAAGACATGCCAGGGAAACTTACTTGACAGTCACAGTAATGTTTTTTTTTTTTTTTTTTTTTTTTGTGGTACGCGGGCCTCTCACTGTTGTGGCCTCTCCCGTTGCGGAGCACAGGCTCCGGACGTGCAGGCTCAGCGGCCATGGCTCACGGGCCTAGCCGCTCCGCGGCATGTGGGATCTTCGCAGACCAGGGCACGAACCCGTGTCCCCTGCATCAGCAAGCGGACTCTCAACCACTGCGCCACCAGGGAAGCCCCACAGTAATGTTTTTTGAAGGTAACTTTCCCCCTCTATCTTTAACTGGCTTTTTGAGCCATGAGAAATAAAATGGAGGCATCTGATTTTGAAGATTCAAACATCTGAGCTTCTGCATTGGACAGATATTTATTGAATGACTATTATGTGCACACACTGTCCCTAAGTACTTCTAGAGTATACCAGAAGGGTATGAAACACTTTCCATGTTGAGGCAAAGATTCTGACCATCTGTGCTTTGAGAAAACACAGGCTTAGAGAGGTTCACTGACAATCCTGTGGCTGCCTGGCTGGTGCTTAGCAGATCATGAGTTAAAAACCTCAGAGTTCTCACCTACTTACCCTAGACTCCATCACAAAGGCAGGGTTGGGATCCCTGCTCTACCATTAACTAGCTGTGCTAAACTGGCTGATTATTTCACTCACCGAACCTGGTTTCTCCACAGCAAAATGGGAAAAAAAAGTTTAAGTACTTTATAGGGTTGTTATAAGGATTAGGTTCGATAATGTAGTACAATTCAGTGTCTGTTATAAAGCCTTCATTTATTGATAATTTATTATAATTATTTTCTTTTAAAAGTTACCAAATTCTTTAAAGAATCAAATGCACCCCTTTGGAATATCGTTAACGCCTCCAGAAAAGTGCCTGTTTTTACTCTGAGGCCAGCAAGTTAAGACTGATGGCCTGCTCTGGGTTATCTTTCCAGGATGGGAAGGGGATGATCAACTTCAGTTTTTCCCCCTTCCTATTCTCTGCTCCACATCAGCTCTGTACTAACGCAGAGAGGATTTCCACTCCTTTTACAGTGCAGACATTAAAAGGCACGTGGGGAAGCAGTGCATTCATCACTTTCTGAAGAACTTAACCCCTAACGTCCCAGCCAACTGAATGTTGGCTGTTTTTGACTCTCTGACTTAGGCCCATTGTTGGGTAGAGAGCTGGGCCTGCGTGTTTTCAGGGGTGAAAAGCAGACAAGATGTTGGAGGGATGAAGGGACCGAGAGGGTCTGAGATGCAGAACTCTACAGAGGAGACTGGTAGCCTGCAGGAAACAGAGGGCAGGACAGGCCCTCACCATTATGACGTCCCCCAGGCCTGGTGCAACTCTGCTTGGTTTCATGTTTGTTTTGAATAATAGCAGCTAACATGAAGCAGTGTACTATGTTCATTTTACATGGATCATCTCAAGGACTGTTTACAAACAGCTGGGAAGTGAAGAAGTGACTGATGTTCCTCCCATTTTACAGGTAGGGAAACTGAGGCACAGGGCCAAATAGCTAGAAAATGGCACTGGCAGATTCAAACTTAGTTATCTAACCTCAGAGAGGAGTCTTTAGCCTCAAGGCTAATTGTCCTGGGCATTTCCCCTTAAAGTCTCAAGAGTGAATCATGGCAACAGTGGGCTCTGGACCCAGTAAGGGCTCAGGCAAATCCCTTCACTCCTCCAGGGCCTCAGTTTTCTCACCTGCAAAATGGGGGTATTAATAAAGGCCCCACCATCACCCGGCCTCGTGGCTGGGGGAGGGTTTGTTGGATAAGACTGGGGCGAGTGCCAAGCACAGAGCCTGGTAAGGGTCTTCCAACATCTTTAACCCTGTCTGTAAACCCTCTGGCTGGAAGCAGCTGGGACCCACGGGGGACTGGGGGCTGCCCCCTTCTGGCTCTGCCGGGAGCAGAAGGGTCCCCTTCCCACCCCGCTGGTCTCGGATGCCACCCCCTCAACCTCCGCGGGGCGCCGGGAGGCCGCTCGGCACCATATTTAGTCAGGGGGAGCGGCAGCCCCGGGCTGGTATGCGGCGCTGGGAATTCCTGCAGGAAGGAGCCTGAGCCTGCCCTTTTTGGGTTGTTTCCCGCCCGCCCGGGTAGGGAGGACCGGCCGGGAACCTCGGAGCCGGGCCAGGCGGGGAGCGGGGCGCCCGGCTGCCCGCAGGTCCCCGGCCTGGCGCGGGGCCAGCCCACCGCCGCGGCTTCCTTTTATGGCCTGTGTGCGTGCATATGACAGAGTGGAGAGAGATGGAGAGAGATGGAGAGAGCGAGAGAGGGAGGGAGATCTGGAGCCAGAGACACAGAGACCAGAGACAGAGTGAGACAGAGGGACAGAAGGAGACAGCGGTGGGCAGAGTGACGGAGACATAGAGAGAGAAAAAAGGCAGAACAAGACAGAAACGGTGATGGAGAGACACGGTGTCAGACACACAGGAGGGGGTGGGGCGGACACGGGGTAAGGGAGTGGTACTAAGAGGGAGGGAGAGAGAGAAAACTTTCAGGCA